TCCTGAACTGATACGCGTGGGCGGGGGATGTGGGTATCCCCACTACTATAAATACAGAAATTTAATTGACTGGAATAGAATTCTTGACAAGGTATCATCTGCTGTCACGATCTGTTTCTGTTCGGAACTTTTTTCACTGTACACGAGCCTCCAAAGTCACCGTCTGGAAACTCGGCGGTACCACTCGCAAGTCCGCGACCCGCCGTTTAGGCTGTAGGGTATATATGCCTATGAGAAAAACCAAGATGTCGTCCACTCCGTAGAAGGTTGCTGTTGCTAAGAATCGTGTCCCTCAATTTTTAAAATATAAAACTATTCAAACCTTGATAAACACATTCAAAACACATGCTTCATATGAGTATGGGGACGTTAAACGCGTTGGCGTTCGAGTTTTTTCGTATTCAATTTGTTCTTCATACCTTAATCCACATCCACGCACTAAAGCCAGGGGCGTTGCCGCATTTAATGCGCATTTAAGTGCATGAGCGCTGCTAGAGGGGCAGACGGATTAGATGTTGTAGCTAATAGTTGCCTTGGATTGCTAGTTTTCAGCTCACGTTATCCCGAACGCCATCTGTTATAGCTCTGAAGGCAAAATGTTTATTTTTGCATGCGTCCACGGTGTAGCTCCACTCAAGCTGGGTAGTAAGCCTACTCACAGGACTTTTGCTTGTAGACGCCATGCCCGCGACTTTCGGTTCGATTGGACTCCAAGGCTGACCTCCTCAATCCGACCTGTTGACAGTCCCTTCGTCCTCGTATTCGTCCTCGCCCTCCTCAGGACGGCAGTGTGGGTTCCATCACTTTAACCACCACCTATTTGCGCCGTGGTGGCTATGGGTCGATGAAAGTGGGTGGGCTGGATAGGAGGGGGCATCCCGGGGGCTCCCCTAGGGGAGCCCCGCCCGAGTAAGGTGTAATGTAGATAGGTGGTCGCAAGCGCTCTCATTGGTGGATCTGACATGCGCAGAACCGACTGCGCATCGCCATGTCAACCACTGTCAGGGCAGCGCGCGCGCCGCCGGGTACTCAAAAGGGATAAAGGAGCCAGGAAAGACCCGGCACCGCCCCTCCTGAGGCTCGAGGCTCGACCCTAGCACGGTCGCCCGGCCTAAAGCCGACCCTTGCTACCTGCTAATACCTGGTCCAGCGTGCACCCAGCACGTTTCAAACCGATCGGCGGAGTGGCGCGAAGGATCTGCCTTCCCCCACTCTCGCCCGCTTGCGACCACCTATCTACATTACACCTTACGCCCGAGGACACTCCCCTGAGAGAGTGCACATGCACCTACCCGAGGGAGGCTGCTGGGGAGGGGGGGGG